CACTTCAGTTATTAGAACTAGGTGTGACCAGCTGGGCGCGGTGGCTCACGCCTGTAATCCCAGCACTTTAGGAGGCTGAGGCAGGCAGATCACGAGGTCAGGAGTTCGAGACCATCCTGGCTAACATGGCGAAACCCCGTCTCTACGAAAAATACAAAAAAAAAAAATTAGCCAGGCATGGTGGCATGCGCCTGTAATCCCAGCTACTAGGGAGGCTGAGGCAGGAGAATTGCTTGAACCCGGGAGGCGGAGGTTACAGTGAGCCGAGATCGCGCCACTGCACTCCAGCCTGGGTGACAGAGTGAGACTCTGTCTCAAAAAAAAAAAAAGAATTAGGTGTGACAAATGTTTCCCATCTTCCAGGGGTACCAGCTGTGGTTGTGACCATCATCCTGACTATATCCCCAGATAACTATGGGCTTGGATCCTATGGGAAATTCCCCAATGGTTCACCGGATGACTTGTGAGTACAAAGCCCCCTAAGGGAATGCTAAGTGAACTGGAAAACAGAATGCTCCTAGAAAACGAGGATCTAATCAGCATATTGACTCCTGCTGTCATCCTAATAAAACCCAGCAATATTTCACAGCAGCCTTCACAGTCTTATGTAATGAGAGAAGCTAGCTGGAAATGCCATGCTACTCTTCAAGTGATGAATTAGGAGGAGATATTCTGAAAAGAAAAATGAATTAGGAGGAACTATTTTGAAAATATTTTCATTAGCCTCTGATAAAATGACATTCCAGTTATATTAATAAAGACTCATGGAACAGAGTTGCTAGGATTTACAGGGGCAAAATCCTGAATGTTTTAAAAAAAGGTCTATTTTTAAAATACTTTAAATCACCAAGTGTCCTCAAATAAACTCTTAGATTCTTTTCCCTAGAGCTATAAATGATTGTAGAGAATAGCAGTTTTATCATTTTTTTTCTCTTGTACTGGTAGAAAATGTTTCAGTAAAATGTTAGAGATTCATTGTATCATTTTGAACTCTAGTTCATCACTGTAATATGTTTTCCCCTGTTTTCCCCCCAACCAACTCCAGCTGCTGGATCAACAACAATGCAGTATTCTACATTACGGTGGTGGGATATTTCTGTGTGATATTTTTGCTGAACGTCAGCATGTTCATTGTGGTCCTGGTTCAGCTCTGTCGAATTAAAAAGAAGAAGCAACTGGGAGCCCAGCGAAAAACCAGTATTCAAGACCTCAGGAGTATCGCTGGCCTTACATTTTTACTGGGAATAACTTGGGGCTTTGCCTTCTTTGCCTGGGGACCAGTTAACGTGACCTTCATGTATCTGTTTGCCATCTTTAATACTTTACAAGGTAAGCTTTACAGCATCAAATACAAACTGAATGATCCCAGTTGAATACAAAAACGTAGCTACTAAAAGAGTACAGGCATGCCTCAGAGATGCCGGGGGTTTGGTTCTAGACCACTACAATAAAGCAAATATTGCAATAAAGTGAGTCACACAAATTGTTTGGTTTCCCAGTGCATATAAAAGTTATGTTTACACTAGACTGTAGTCTATTAAGTGTGCAATTGCATGATGTCTAAACAAATGTACATACCTTTAACTTAAAAACATTTTATTGCTAAAAACTGCTGATACAGAGACACAAGGTGAGTACATGCTGTTGGAAAAATGGCCTTGAGAGACTTGCTGGATGCAGGGCTGCCACAACCTTCAATTTGTAAAAAAAAAAAAAAAAAAAAATGCACTATCTGTGAAACCCCAAGAGGTATGCCTGTATATGCAAAGTAGCTTATTTAGTGGCTTAAGATATTTTCATTGAAAAACATATTTATCATTGAGAGGGAGTGCTTTGAGATCCTTGGAGGAAAGGTACTTACTAAATTCAAGAAATGGTGTTTTTTTCTCCTTATTCATCGTTATCTCCTTGGAGAGACCACATTGAGGGGAACCTGTCAGGAACTCTTTTTGAAAAAGTCAATTATTCTTCCTTCACCTGGTTTCTTTTTTAAAAACTGTTGTATTCAAGTAGAACATGCAGACAGTAAGCACACATACCATGACTGTGCCTGTACAGGGAGCCCACCGCTCTTACCTCCTAGGTCAGCGATTTGGAGACAATGAGAAATGGGAAGGCAACAGAGAGACCCAAGCGGCAGCAGTCTTACTTGAAGGCTAATCCTAAGAAGTTGCTGCCCTGGGACGCTCAGCGGGAAAGAGAGCAGGCTGTGTGTGTCGCCATCTGCTTCAGGTTTCCCATTGGTTAATGAAGCCAATTCATCTTGGAACCCTGATACTTGTACTCTTTATAAAAGAAAATGACTGATTCTTTTAGAGCAGTATTATGAAAGACGTGTCCGCTGTTAATTTTTAATGGAAGTGCTTTGACATTAAAAGCCTAGCAGGCTATTAGGTTTACATTACAATAACAGTAATTCACTGTCCCTTAGTTTCCTTTTATTCTGAATCCTCTTTGGTGGATGCCTTTTAATTGCCTTCTCGTTGGCTTTTGTTCATCTTCCCTGTTGGTTTTGCTTCTCTAGTTCTGTCAGGCAATAGATCATCTTGTTGGTTTTCAGAGAAATCCCAACCTGAGGTTAAATTCAAATGCCAAATTTGGTTGTTGGTTCTTATTTAAATTTGGAGGAAGCCAGCAGAGGTGATTGTTTGGTTATATATGGTTATTAATTTTTACTTATAATATAGCAGTTTCTCAACTGGTATATCCAGGTGTTATACCACATGGTATTGCATACAAAACCAAAAACATGAGCAAATTCTTTTAAGGGTCTTAAGAAAAGTTTTATTTCCCAACCATGGCATACTAAAAGTAATAGATACTTTAAAAAATATATATGTATATAGACCGGGTCGCGGTGGCTTACGCCTGTAATCCCAGCACTTTGGGAGGCCGAGGCGGGCAGATCATCTGAGGTCAGGAGTTCGAGACCAGCCTGGCCAACATGGTGAAACCCCGCCTCTACTAAAAAATACAAAAATTAGCCGGGCGTGGTGGCAGGTGCCTTAATCCCAGCTACTTGGGAGGCAGAGGCAGGAGAATCCTTTGAACCCGGGAGGCTGAGGTTACAGTGAGCTGAGATAAAGCCATTGCACTCAAACCTGGGGGACAAGAGCAAGACTTCTTTCAAAAAAAAAAAATATATATATATATATGTATATATATATGCCCACATCACACTAATCATTGACATGAAAGCAAGGTACCCACCCTCACATGTTTAATGTGGAAATTGAATCTGCCTTTTTCTTCATTTCCCCAGATTATCTTCTCATTAGAATATGAATGGATAAAAGGAATGAATGTATTGCTTCATCTATACAAGGAAACTAACCCTAATACACAGGGCTTTTGGGGTGGTTGAATATATATATAGGTTCTGATTTTGGTCTCTCTTATACATGCTGTTTCTCTCCTAATGCAACCAATGGTCGACTCCCAGGGTGGCAAATGAATGAAGCTGTGTAATATTCAGACATGGTCTTGATGGTGGGCACATATACCCTACTAGAAGCAAAACTGTTTTGTTTGTTTGTTTTTTGAGATGGAGTCTCGCTCTGTCACCCAGGCTGGAGTGCAGTGTCGCGATCTTGGCTCACTGCAACCTCCGCCTCCTGGGTTCAAGTGATCCTCCCACTTCAGCCTCCCAAAGTGCTGAGATTACAGGCGTGAGCCACCACGCCTGGCCCCTGGTATTTTAAAATGAAGGTTTTAAAGTGAATAGATTGGGGGTTTTTAAGTAGAAGGCAGAGAACCCAGAATTCATCCATTCACTCAGCAAATATTTGTTGACAAAAGCCTTGGGGAGTGGCAGCGATGTGACTGGCTGGGGAGCCCTGGCCTGCCTTGACTGGGCACCCGAGTGGGTGACAGGTAGAGCCCCAGAGCCCCTTCAGGTCTTCAGCTTGTTCTCCATGCCAGCACCTGGAGCAGGTCAGGAGGAGGCAGGCAGGAAGGTGAGTACATCGCTGAACTGCCTGGGTTTGAGGGGGAGAGAGAGATTCGAGCAAACGACATGGCAGTGGGCTGGAGAGGAGGAGAGCGGGAAGGGAAAGATGTATGGAGAAGATGGCATTTGACAGAGCTTCAAAACAGATTCTAAACAGGGAGGGAGGGAGAGGCAGGAGCCTAGGTCCAAGCTGGGATCCTGGGTGGATGGCTTGTCATTCCAAGATACAGAAGGCCAAGGACAGGATGTGGGAGGAGAGGAGACAGTGAATTTAATTGTGGAAATGCAAAGTTATGATTCCTTTTATCATATAAATAATCTTAATCTTACAAAGATTTTCTAGAGGCATTCCCTGACGCCTTTTGACAGCAAGCTTTCCTAGGACTCCGGACTTTTGATTCAATTTGCACAATTTCATGTTGCCCACAGCTGCCAAAATAATTATTAATATATTTTGTGCAAAGTGAGCTTATGACATTCAGCTATTAGCTTGGAATTCATTGTAGGTTTTATTTTTTCCCCCTCCTTAGGATTTTTCATATTCATCTTTTACTGTGTGGCCAAAGAAAATGTCAGGAAGCAATGGAGGCGGTATCTTTGTTGTGGAAAGTTACGGCTGGCTGAAAATTCTGGTAAAGATTTACCTCACTTTTTCTCTTCCTCTTAAATCTCAAGGAAAAGATTGTATAAATTAAGATCCAAAGCAAATCCAATCTAGAAATCAGTGAATTCCAGCAAATCTGGAATCTGCTCAACAGAAAATATTGATTGTGAACATTAGGGAGAAAAAAAAAATCTAGTGAATTAAAAAATAATTACTCATATCTGGGAATTTTTTGAGCAATAAAAGTAATGGCCTGGCTGCCTCTTCAATGAAGCAATGGTAAAATTTTTAGATTTGATTTTCTTTTGAGATCATGCTTTTCATTTCCCAAAGTAATTTTTAATATTTACCTTGGAAATTTTTAAAATCTCAACTCAATCCTTTCTCCACAGGTCCTGGTTGTCAGTTGCTTTATTTGTTAGTAAGCCAGACTTTGTGTATAAGCTTTAGCATACATTTGGTTGTAACATACACTTGTTTATTTTGAAGTGATTTTCACACATACCCAGTTGGGTAGTAGAGCAAATAGCTCATTTGTTTTTGTTTTTGTTTTTTTAAGAAAATGAGAAAAATGAAGTACTGTTGGAAAAGTTACATTCCTTTTGCATGAATACCACCTTTGCAGTATCTGGGGGACACGGGAGTCTATTCAGAAAATGGCAGTACATATAGTTCAGTCATTTTCATGGATTGAAGAACAATTAGTCATTACAACACAGACTATTTGTGTTCTTGTTAAGACAGTGTGAAGCTCTGAATCACTACCTAATTCTGTGGATATTTATAGACATAATCAAATTAGCTTGGCCTTTAGTTCTAGGAGAATATAGGTTACTTTTAACCACGCGGTCATTTGAAGGACAAATGTAAATAATCCAAATGAAAATACATGTTATCACACCAACTGGTGGAAGGTGACTTCTCCATAAGATCCTGAAGTGAGGAATCAGTTGCTTAGGACTTGTTACACTGTGATCTGTCTCTTGCGTTTGAGCTTCAACATACTGCCCTGTTTTTCTGTAATGCTTATTCTGCTGTAGACTGGAGTAAAACTGCTACTAATGGTTTAAAGAAGCAGACTGTAAACCAAGGAGTGTCCAGCTCTTCAAATTCCTTACAGTCAAACAGTAACTCCACTAATTCCACCACACTGCTAGTGAATAATGATTGCTCAGTACACGCAAGCAGGAATGGTATGTATGTCTCAATATAGTATTTCTCAAGCTAGTGTTTATTTTTTAAAGTAGTTTTATCCTTTATTGGCATTTTGGCTAAGCAAAGCGAGTAACTATTAATACATATATGACTAGTGGATCAAAATGTGGTTCCCTTACAGAAGAGAAAATTAGTCCAAATTGATTTATTATAGAGCAAATATTGGAACAACGATCTTTTTTTAAGATTTGGTTTTTCATAGTGGGAATTGATGATTACCTAAAAATTTTAACATTTTAAATCCTCATTTAACTGTTGTCCAGAGACTTCAGTATTGTGCTATTTCTGTGAGAGCAGCACCTAAAATAGCTGATAAGACTATAACAATTTTTATTACATCTATCATAATATACTTTTTTTTTTTTTTTTGAGATGCAGTCTCACTCTTGTCGCCCAGGCTGGAGTGCAATGGTGCAATCTCAGCTCACTGCAACCTCCATCTCCTGGGTTCCAGCAATTCTGCCTCAGCCTCCCAAGTAGCTGGAATTACAGGTGACCTACAGGCAACCGCCACCATGCCCAGCTCATTTTTTGTATTTTTAGTAGAGACAGGGTTTCACCATGTTGGCCAGGCTAGTCTCGAACTCCTGACCTCAAGTGATTTGCCCACCTCGGCCTCCCAAAGTGCTGGGATTACAGGCGTGAGCCACCGCGCCCAGCCGACACTTTTACACCTTCCTATTGTTTGCTTTTCATGTTTGTTAATTCTTTCCCACAATGTGGCTGTCTTGTGACAGCACCCAAATCCCCATGAATATGTCAAATACTGGAAGATGACTTGTGACCAGTATTGGTGACCATATATGTGACCAATATCTGAACAGATTACTGCTGCCATGCCTCCTTTACTCATTAATTCTGACATTTCTAGCTAAAACTTCTGTTACATTTTCTTTCTTTCATAAGACCAGGCTGTTCATTACTCATAAAAGCTTACCTTATCTATTTTTACCTTCTCTTGCTTCTTAATATATCTTTTGCATTCTTATAAAAGCATAAGCTCTGCTGGTATAGTTTCTCCTTCCATGGAGAATTTGCCTGTATTCATTGTTTTAGGATGTTAGTTCTTTTCATTCACTAATTCAAATAAATTTGTGAGAAGGTTCATACATCTACCAAACAGTTTTCCAATTTCCTGAAGATGGGTGGTCCTGCTGGTTTGTCTAGACTTTTTTTTCTTTCTTTTTTTTTTAAGACAAGGTCTCCTATTGCCCAGGCTGGAGTGCAGTGGTGCGATCACAGCTCACTGCAGCCTCGACTTCCCAGGCTCAAGTGATCCTCCCATCTCAGCCACCGGAGTAGCTGGGACTATAGGAGCATGCCACCATGCCTGGCTAATTTTTTTTTTTTTTTTAAGATGCCGTCTTGCTGTGTTGTCCAGGTTGGTATCAAACTCCTGGGCTCAAGTGATCCTCCCACCTCAGCCTCCCAAAGTGCTGGAATTACAGATGGGAGTCACTATGCCTGGCCTGTCTAGGCTTTTAAAATACCATAGGATGCCTCAAAATCAAGGTTTCTCAACTTCAAGCACAACTGACATTTGGGGGCTGGATAATTCTTTTTTGTGGAATTGCAGGACATTTAGCAGGATCCCTGGACTCTATCAACTAGAGCCAGTAGCACCCTGCCCCCAGTTAAGACAACCCAAAATGTCCCCGGACACTGCCAACTGTCCCAGGGGAGCGGGGGGAAAAGGGAGCAAGATTGCCCCCAGTTGAGAATCACTGTTGTAAAAGATGAGAAATAACTGCTGTATAGCCGTAGCTCTTTACTGTCGATACCAGAAAGCAAGCTCTGGTCTCTACACCAAATAGCTCTATCAGGAATGATTCAATGTAGGTAAACAGAGGCGAGGCAGTGGGGAGCACAGCTGGTTAGTACGTTAGTGTGAGAAAGCAAATTGAAAGGAGAGACATCAAAGGAGCGAGCTGGGTCATCAAGAACCATTAGAATCACAACTGTGTTTGGGGCTCTGAATCCATAAACCAGATTTTTCCATACTCTCGAAAGAGCTCCGAGATGAAGCCTCACCTGCCTAGCTCTATCAATATATTGCCATCCTTTGGGAAATCAGATTTGATGGAAACAGCACATTTTACCACAGTTGTTTAACACAGCTGATTTGACACAGCTACTTTTGATGCTTGACGGTGAGGGTGGGGGTACTTTTTAAGGCTGCCAAAATGACTCAGTGTTTAATATCACATAATGTGCATGTCAGATAAACATCCCTGACTCCTCAGTCCTCGCCCCAGGGATAGATGAGGAATGGAATTGGCAATTTCAAAAAAGAAAGCTAGGGCTGGGCACAGTGGCTCACGCCTGTAATCCCAGCACTTTGGGAGGCCTAGGTAGGAGGATCACCTGAGGTCAGGAGTTCAAGACCAGCCTGGCCAACATGGAAAAACTCCGTCTCTAATAAAAAATATGAAAAGCAACCAGACGTGGGTAGTCCTGAGTAGTCCCAGCTACTCTGGAGGCTGAGGCAGGAGAATCGTTTGAACCCAGGAGGCAGAGGTTGCAATGAGCCAAGATCACACCACTGCACTCCAGCATGGGCCACCAAACGAGACTCCGTCTCAAAAAAAAAAAAAAAAAAAAAAAAGAAAGCTAAAAGTTTAATGGTTTGTTTATTATGCCAGGCCAAATTGTTCTTGCACCAAAATGTCCTCAAGCTGAAATGCCTAAATCCAAACAGCTGCCTCAGACAGTCACATGCCCTATTTGATCTGTGTCACAGATGGAGCTGTGTTAACCATATTCATCACCTAGTTTGCATGAATATTACATAGTTCAGTTCTGAGCTGCCTTAGAGGGTGGGGTACCAGCAGCCATCTCATTTGGTACCCAGGACCACAAGGATCACAGTTTGGAAGCAACATCACACGTCGGCTCCATTACTTCTGAGCTGTGTAACCTTGGGGAGAGCACTTAATTTCTGAAACCTTCATTCCTCATCTGCAAAATGGGGATAATAGTCGTACCCACCCTGCAGGGCTCTAAATGAAATAATAAAGTATCCAGTACTGTTATGATCATTGTTATCATAATCATGTCATGAACTAACAAATGGCCTTATTATTCAGCTTTCTAAATAGTCTCCCAACGGTCTAATGATCAGAAGGATGGTGCCAAGTAACTAGAGGAGGCCAGCACCTGGGCTCTCCTACAACTGAGGACCTGCTTGGGGTGGGGAAGGCCCACATCCAAACCAAGTTACCCTTGAGTGCCCAGCTGCTCCCTGGCCTGGACTCTGAAGTTGGAATTGGTAGTTTCCTCTTGGGAATTGGTCCTATCCTGATTTAGTCAGAGGAGCTGGTTTAGTCTACAAGAGAGATGATTTCTTCTTGCCATGACTGTTGTAGCTGGTTGCTCTGGTTTCTCTGGTACAGTTTCATTTTATAGGAACCTAGGGAACCAAGAACTTCCTAAGGGTACATACGGGGATCTCTGTTAACATTAACCTTTTGGGAGACCAAAGTATTACCTTAGCTTATATTATACATATGCTGCTACTTGAAGTCAAAATATATCCAACCAGAGTTAGGAAGTGGGCCTTTTATTAATATATTACCTTGCTTCAGATTTTGACTGTTTCATTAAAAACCAAACAAAAAAAACTGCCATAGACAACTGGTTTCTGAAGCAATCTCCAATTTGGTATGCTTACTTTGAGTGGCCTTAGGGAAGGAATGAAAAATAAATAAAATATGAACATATATAACAAATGTTTTTAAAAACATATTTTACAAATACAGCTTTAAGAATAAAGAGATACCTAAGTTTGTTTGCTTTTTAATGTTTTCTGTGGATACTTCATGCCACCCGCTTTGTGTTTCCTTATACAGGAAATGCTTCTACAGAGAGGAATGGGGTTTCTTTTAGTGTTCAGAATGGAGATGTGTGCCTTCACGATTTCACTGGAAAACAGCACATGTTTAATGAGAAGGAAGATTCCTGCAATGGGAAAGGTCGTATGGCTCTCAGAAGGACTTCAAAGCGGGGAAGCTTACACTTTATTGAACAAATGTGATTTCTTGTAAAATCAAAGCATGATGCTTGACAGTGTGAAATGTCCAATTTTACCTTTTACACAATGTGAGATGTATGAAAATCAACTCATTTTATTCTTGGCAACATCTGGAGAAGCATAAGCTAATTAAGGGCAATGATTATTATTACAAGAAGAAACCAAGACATTACACCATGGTTTTCAGACATTTCTGATTTGGTTTCTTATCTTTCATTTTATAAGAAGGCTGGTTTTAAACAATACATTAAGAATGACTCCTATAAAGAAAACAAAAAAAGGTAGTGAACTTTCAGCCACCTTTTAAAGAGGCTAAATTATCTCTGATAACATCATACAAAGCAACTGTTGACTGCAGCCTGTTGGTGAGTTTAGTTGTGCATGCCTTTGTTGTATATAAGCTAAATTCTAGTGACCCATGTGTCAAAAATCTTACTTCTACATTTTTTTTCTATTTATTTTCTACTGTGTAAATGTATTCCTTTGTAGAATCATGGTTGTTTTGTCTCATGTGATAGTTCAGAAAATCCTTGGAGATGGTATGGGATGTGAAATACAGAAACCTCAGTGAAATCAAGAAATAATGATCCCAGCCAGACTGGGAAAATGTAAGCAGACAGTGCCACAGTTAGCTCATACAGTGCCTTTGAGCAAGTTAGAAAAAGATGCCCCCACTGGGCAGACACAGCCCTATGGGCTCATGGTTTGGCAAACAGAGTGGAGACCATGTTTTAGCCCCACTCACCCTCTTGGGTGTACGACCTGTACAGCCAAACACAGCATCCAATACGAATACCCATCCCCTGACCGCATCCCCAGTGGTCAGATTATAGAATCTGCACCAAGATATTTAGCTTTATACCTTGGCCACAGAGAGGGATGAACTGTCATCCAGACCATGTGTCAGGAAAATTGTGAACACAGATGAGGTACATACACTGCTGCTTCTCAAATCCCCAGAGCCTTTCAGAACAGGAGAGTAGACTAGGATTCCTTCTCTTAAAAAGGTATATATATATATATATATATATATGGAAAACAAAATCATATTGCTGTTCTTTAAAAGGCAACTGCATGGTACATTGTTGATTGTTATGACTGGTACACTCTGACCCAGCCAGAGCTGTAATTGTTTTTTAAATGTGTCTTGAAGAATGCATAGTGACAAGGGGAGCAGCTATTGGGAACAGGGAACTGTCCTGCACTGCTATTGTTGCTACATGTATCGAGCCTTGATTGCTCCTAGTTATATACAGGGTCTGTCTTGCTTCCCACCTACATCTGCTTGAGCAATGCCTCAAGTACGTCCTTATTAGGAACATTTCAAAACCCTTTTAGTTAAGTCTTTCACTAAGGTTCTTTTGCATATATTTCAAGTGAATGTTGGATCTCAGACTAACCATAGTAATAATACACATTTCTGTGAGTGCTGACTTGTCTTTGCAATATTTCTTCTCTGATTTATTTAATTGTCTTGTATTTATATGTTAAAATCAAAAATGTTAAAATCAATGAAATAAATTTGCAGTTAAGATCTTTAAGTTTGGTAATTTTCACAAAGAAAAAACATCTGCAGTCTCTTTCCCTGGCGGCCTGGCATGGAAGTGGTAGGACATGCTGATTAAGACAAACACAATTGGCTGGGCATGGTGGCTCACGCCTATAATCCCAGCACTTTAGGAGGCTGAGGCAGGTGGACTGCTTGAGCACAGGAGTTTGAGACCAGCCTGGGCAGCACAGGGAGACCCCTGTCTCTACGAAAAATTAAAAATTCGTTAGGCACAGTGTTGTGTGCCTGTACTCCTAGCTACTCAGGAGACTGAGGATGGAGGATTGCTTGAGCCTGGAAGTTTGGGGCTGCAGTGAACCACGATTGTGCCATTGCACTCCAGCTTAGGCGGCAGAGCGAGACACCATCTCTTAAGAAAACACACATAACAGTAACATCTTTTGGAAAACAGCAGGTACCCTGTGACTGTTAAATTAGAGCAAGGGTTGTTCTGTCTCATGAGATCAGTTTCTGAGGTCTCCTTTCCATTTTCCCATTACTCTTTCAAGATTATCTCTTCAACACATTGACTTTGGCCTGTAGGCAATGTACAAGACCCAATTCAGATCTCATCCAAGTATCTGCTTCTTCAGTGTCAAACAGGACTACTGAAAAGTGAGAACAGGATTTGGGATTTCTGCGTTGCTGGTTAGCATGTGGGATCCCCAAATATGGGAAGCTGACCTCACCCTTGCCAGGGTCTCTGAGCAATCTCTTCTTCCAAGGTCCTCAGCTCCCACAAAGATGCCGAGTACTAAATTCATAAGGAAGATGTGAGATCTTCTAGATTGAGGGAGGGGTGAGACCTCAGAAATCAATCCCCCAAAACAGATTATATAACCAAAATATACATAAAAGGATGCACAATGTCCAGTATCCTTTAGGTCCCACCCCCTTATTTTTCCTATTGTGTCTCTGCTGTGGTCCTTAAGCTGAATTCTCTCATCTATTTTTCTTACTTTACACAGACATACGGCAGGACAGAGAGTGTTTCTGAGAAGCATCCTCCTTTGGGTTTAAGATTGATCCCACGATCTGAGACACTATTATAAGGAAACAGAGGTGGTGCCAATATTAGGAGGCAAGGAGTGTCAGGGCAGAGGCCAGTATTTAAAGAAGTATTTCCTCAAAATATTGGAGTAGTTTTGGTTTTTTTGTTTGTTTGTTTTCCTCAAAACACACTGCAGTCATTAACCCCACAAAGGAAGTCTGCTGACTTCAGTGAGCAGCATCATGATCGTTCTTACAGAAAATGGTGAAGCAAGTCAGGCAAGCACCTGTAGTCCCAGCTACTTGGGAGGCCGAGGCAGGAGGATCGCTTGAGCCAGGGAGTTTGAGTCCATCCTGGACAACATAGAAAGACTTCGTGTCTTTAAAACAAACAAACAAAAGACGGTGAAACAGCTTAACTTGGGATACTGGGTGTGTCTAGCGAGGTCGGCTAGGAGTCAGTCAGTTTGTTGAAGGCCATTTAGATGAAGATCTAATTTACTGCATAACCAATTCACAGAGTGGACTTGTTTGGTGTCATTTTGTCTCCATAAGAGCATTTTAAGGACTATTTAGTTTGTCTTTGTCTCTGCTCCTTGCTGTTCTAGTTGGAGTCCAAAGGACAGGAAAAAGGAAAGACTGGGTAGGCATAAGAAGAACATAATCTTCAATTTGAAGAATTCTTATCAGTATATACTTTTTTTTTTTTTGAGACAGAGTCTTGGTTTGTCACCCAGGCTGGAGTGCAATAGTACAATCTTGGCTCACTGCACCCTCCACTTCCTGGGTTCAAGCGATTCTCCTGCCTCAGCCTCTCGAGTGGCTGGAATTACAGGCGCCTGCCACCATGCCCGGCTAATTTTTGTATTTTTTGTAGAGAGAGGGTTTCACCATATTGGCCAGGCTGGTCTTGAACTCCTGGCCTCAAGTGATCCACCAGCCTCAGCCTCCAAAAGTGCTGGGATTACAGGTGTGAGCCTCCGCGCCTGGCCAGTATATACTTTTTTCTTTTCATGTTAATCTCCAGGTACAGCATCAAGAAGTCAGAGCAGGCAAAAATGGAATATATGTTCTTATAGAATATATTCTTTTAAATATATTCCTCACTGTAAAGAAATCTTATGTTCCCTGGTGTTTCCTCTCTTTATCTCTCAGTCTCAAACGAGCTACAGGAAGCTGGAGCAGAGACAAATTCCACATTCTTTAAAATGTAATGAAAAAATGATTTCCAGTCAACTAAATTATCATATAAATAACTAAATTTGGTGAATTGGTCATTTTCAACAAACTCATTCAGATTTGACCCTTTGGGTCAAAGATGGAGTGATTTTCTTTAGAGCCAAAGACCTGAACCCTACAAGAGAAATATTTATTGGTTTCCACCTTGGATGTTAACACGGGGCTCTCTAGAAACTACCTGGGCTGAAGCCTCTGTGGCAGGATGATGGCAGATCCTCTGGTTAGGGTCAGAAAAATCATACATGGTGCTACCCCAGGGTCCAGTTCTGGGTTTTCATCTTCATGGAGATCACGAATCAGCTTCAGAAACAATAACATTCCCTATCATTACACTATATCTGATTCTTGACAAATATTTGAGAAATGACTTGCAGACAAATTTCTATTGGGTGATAACCAGAGAATGGCTTCATGGATATGGGGACCAAGATATGGAGGTTTTGTACCTCAAGGATATGAGGATACTAAAATATGAGACTGATTTATTACATAGCACAGCTTACTGGTCCAAAATGAATCACTAAAATTTGCTTCGAAATTTAAAAGCTAAAACGGAGTAGCCTTCCTTCTTTGTTTTATCCCAGAATTTTGAGCTTATTGAAGAACATAGCTTAGATGTTGCTATGCAATCGTATAGACCAAAGCCTAAGCATGTAGACTGCCTATACACCAAAAGGGGTGCATGTGTATATAGCAGAATTAGCAAAGAATGAAGTCAAGAAACTGAAAATATTTCTATACTAGGTGGAAATGCCTGATAAGGAGCAAAGATCAGTTATTTCCCGTATGGCTGCAAAATCAACTCCTAAAGAAGGACCCAATGGAAACAAAAGCCACAATGAAAAGAAGCAATGATCCCAGCTTTTAGATACAGATAAATACATGAAAATTCTAGCAAGAGTACATACTCAGATTCCAAAACATTTAGTGATGATAACAATGTCTAGTTTTATTCACCCCTAGACCACAGCAAATTCTTCATGGAGGCACATCACATGGATCGCTGCATAATTCAAGAGCCAATATTAAGAAAACAAAGTATTATATGAAGTAATATGTGAGCTGATGGGGGGTTTGGCGCTTTAGTTGAGTGACAGAGTAAAGCCATAGATTTATGTTCTGGAATATCTAACATAAACTTGGTCAAGGACAAAACATAAGGGAATGCAGCTAAGCAGGACTAATTTCATTTACTCATGCAAGCAACATTAATTGAGCTCCAACTATACGCTCAACACTGTACCAGGCATGGTAGGAGATACCAAAAGACTGTTTCAATGAATAACGTACATTCCAATTAGGAAAATATGCCTCATCCACACGTGAAAACACAAATAACAACAGGAGGCAATACATTGTGGCCAAGTGACAACG